CCAGCGGGCGACGGTCATGGAGTGGGTCTATACTACGCCATCGAGGCTTTCAAAAAATGCACTCTCAAATCGAGTGCGACCCGGGCCTTCGGCCGCGAGATCTTCCTGAAGGACTTCGGCCTCGACTCGGTGTTCGGGGAGGTTGCGCTCCAGGGCGCGGCTGCCGGCCAGAGCCGCGCGAACGACCTGAAACGACTCGGCGCCGACTCGCCGCAGTCTTGTTCGAAAGCGCGGCGCCTGGGTGACCCGTCGGGCGCAGCCGCGCCCGCGGGCCGCAACCAGAGCGGAGCGGCGGGGTCCGACCACCGCGGCAGCTCCGGGGCGAGGGCTAACCGCTGGTCCAACGTTCCGGCGGCGGGCCCTCAGGCGGACGCGCCCCTGGCAGCTCCGGGGGCGCCGCCAGCCTCTGGTCGCACTGAGTTGGCGCGACAGGTGAAAGCCAGCCTTGCCGCTGTCGCGCCGGGAAAGTCCGCGCAGTTTTTTCCAGAAGTGGTTCGACGATCGCTTCAAAGAGAAAGGCTTGAAACAGGCCGCCCTCCAGGTCAGCCGGGAGGTGTGCAAGAACTGCCTCTGCAGCGGCAGAGGCGCTTTGGAGCGCACTTTTAAAGGGCGCCGCGACACTTTTAAGAACAAGTGCGTCCTCCCGTGCCCGCGGTGTGTAGCCGCGGGCAGGCTGACGGGGAACGTGCGCCACGGGGCGCAGGATTGCGAGTTTAGCTGAGCAGCAAGCCCGCTGCGGCAAGGGGGCCGGGAAAACATAACGACATCACATACCACATGTATTGATAACGCAGCTGTAAGTCATGGGTGGGTCTCCCGGCCCCCGCGCCCCCCGTCATGGCCGTCTGCCATTGGACGACTTTTTCAGCATATTGCCTTGGCAACAACGCGGCGCAGCCAGCAGCGAACCCGCAGCGGCAGCTGGGCCGGGAAACATAACGCCAGCACAGAAGCATCCATATCCAACGCGCGAAACATTGCGGGGAAGTTTCCCGGCCCCGCAACTCCCCCCCGGCGCCGTCTGCGGCGTGGGACTTTACAGCCGACCCTCGGAGGCGCCGGGCGCTCCCACCGCTGCGCAGCAGGCGCTCCCGCATTCTCTCGCGGGCCACGGAAAAAATACCCATCCCTCCCCTACCCCATTTTTCCCTCCCTTTTCCTTCCGCTCCCTCCCTCGCCCCCCGCCCGTCTGCTCCATGATGGACACGTCGCCGGTTGTTCCGCGAAAGGATGCCCCAACTCGGTGGGGGCATCTTCAGACGGGGGATGCGGGGGGGCGCCATTAATGGGGAGGCGGGGTCAGGGGTAGGGGAGAGGGGGCCACGCATGGCGGTGGGGAAGAGAGGCATTCGCACGCGAAGTGTCTGGCATGGGCGCTCCCACCGCTACGCGGCAGGGTCTCCCGCATTTTCTCGCGGGCCGCAGAAAAAATGCCCATGCCTCCCCTCCCCCTTTTTTCCCTCCCTTTCCCTTCGCCCCTCCCTCCCCAACCGCTCGTCTGCTCCATGATGGACGCGTCGCCGTTTGCGCCGCTCAGCGAGCCCCAACTCGGTGGGGGCGTTTCCAGACGACGGAGGCGGGAGAAGCGCCATTCGTAGGAGAGCGGGGTCACAAGTAGGGGAGAGGAGGCAACGCAGACGGTGGGGAGAGAGGCGTTCGCATGCTAAGTGTCTGGCATGGCCGCCCGCGACCGCCCCTGGACATCGCGGCCGGGCCCGGGGGGGCGCCCCGCCGTCAGATAATTCTAGACAGCCGCCCTAGAATTTTTACACACCCGGCCCCGATCAGATTTTGTAGCTCCGGGGCACTGGCCCAGAACGGTTGCCAAATTTTCTTCAGGGTTCGCTTTAACCCGATGCGATTGCAACGGGTCCTCCCGAACATTTGGAGTTTGCGGTGGTGCGCCCGCGTCGCGATTGATGACGACCACGCCAGCCCGCCCAGAAACGACGTGCCCGCGTGCGCGCGCTGGGGATGAGGTCGAAAACCCCGTCGCTACAGCAAACCCGCCAAAACGTGTCGGCTCAATCCCGGTCGTCATCGTGGACCTGCCACTCTCCCCGGCTCAAAAATTCCGGCGGATCGGGCCATCTTCTTTGCACATATGATTCCGTCACAGACGTTGCCGCCGGGGCCGGCCGCGGCGTTCAAGAGGAGAGAGTGGCAACGGCACCCAGCGCGGCCGCCCGCGCCTCAGAGGAACCGTCTGGCGCGGACGCAAGGCGCCCTGGGGAGCCGGGCTCGTCGGCTTCGCCCTCTTCTGGTCCTTTCGGACGCGTCCAACAAGCCAACGACAACGCCAGTGAGCGGGCCCAGGCACGCGTTGCACAACTTGCAACGCAAACTTCGGGAAGTACCCGGCTCACGGTGCAACGCGCCGGGGCCTTGGGGAGCCATCCGGCTAAGAGTGTCTCCGCCCGGCGCGCAACGTGCGTCGGGCGCGCACCCGGCATTCTGGCCGGGCCCCCCAAATCGGGCTCCCGGCATCTGGTCGGCCTCAAAGTGGTTCTGAACATCCCGGCGGTCGCAGACACGACCGCCGACCAACGGGCGTTCCAAGCCAGAGCATTTGCCGCAGTGAATTTCTGCATCCGCGCGGCGTGGGAGGGGTCCACGCACGCGCGCTACGATGCTGCGCTTCGCTCTGTGGCCAACCACGCAGAGGCGGTATCTGGTCTGTCATTGCTGCCCTGTGATTCAGACACAAAGCTGATGTGTCTATTCGCTTCCTTGGACGGCGAACCGTGGGGCGCAATCTCCACGGCCCGTGCAGCAGTGCGAGCATGGCACGAAAAATAGGGCCTTGTAGACCCTTTTGATTCCGCGTGGACCGACAGGGCCGCACCTTTTTGGAAGGGCCTCAAAAAACGAACAGACCACACTTTGTCACGGGCCAAAGAGCCGCTGTCTTTAACACAGCTCCTGCACTACGTGCGGGCGCGCCGCGGTGTCAACTCCCCCGCGGGCGTCCGGGACGCAGCTGCTGCGGCATTTTGTTTCTTCGGCGTGCGACGGTCCGCCGAGATGCGGTTCCTGGCGGCGGAGGATCTTGTGATCGAGACCACGCGCGCCGTAGCCTTCATCAGGAAACAAAAGAATGATCCACTAGGAGCAGGGATGCGTTGCATCATTCCATGCTTTCCGCGCCTCGGAGGCTCTTGTCCCGTGCAACTGTTGCGGGGCTGGGTCGCCGCCCGCGCGAAGCTGTCGCCGGATCGCGCCGATGGCCCGTTGTTTTCCGTCACGCGCAAGGCAGTGCCATCGGCAATTTCCGCCGACACAACGCGCAAGTCCTTGTCATCAGTGTTTCCCCGGGTGCTCAACGGGCACCCACTCGCTGCGAAAGGGCGGGGCCCATTGGTGGAAAGCAGATGCCCAGGTCCCAGACGAGATAATTCAAGCTCAAGGCGGGTGGTCAAGCCCCGAGACCATGCGCTCTGTATGCGCCCGTTTCAATGAGCAGGAACGTATCCGAATGTTTGCACACGCAGTTGCGTCCATCAAACCGGACACCACCCAAGCCTCCAAGCCTCCAGGCTGCGCGCCGGCCCTGTCATCCGAGCAGGGCCAGTCGGCACCCGGGCCCATGCCTCAATGGAGACGCCTCGCTCACTCATTGTGAGCGCCACTTGCCTCACTGGGGGTTGGCGGGGCTGCAAAACGGCGCCCCGCCAGCAGGCCTGCCATTCCCCCTGGCGCTCCCTTTGCGGCATGGTTTTGCCGACCCCCTACGGAAAAGAGAGGCGTCATCCCTGCCATCACCATGCTCTCGCCACTCCCTGCTCCCATCTATTTCTCCCTTTTTGCGTCGTCGTGGCCTCCTCCGCTTCTGCCTCATCCTCGCCTTTCCCTCCCTCTCTCCTCGGGGCGGGACACGGGGGGGTGGCCAGGCAGGACAGGTTGGGCGCCCGTTGCCCGAATACGACTTTCTGAGGACGCTTGCTTTCAGGAAAGGGGCTTCGGGGGTGGGCGCACGGAACACCCCAGCTGATCCTCGTCGGTCGACTGCTGGATCCGTTCGAACGGCTTGCAGGCGCAGGCGCCGTGGCAACTCCGCGTCGGGGCGTTCGCCGTCCCCGCGTAGCCGATGGCGCAACAGTATTTCGTGGGGCGCGCACCCCTACACCAGGGTCGCATAAAAGGGGGTCCGAGGGGGAAATTCTTACACCCGCCCGCCCGTGTCCCATACCGCCAGTTGCAATCCACCTCCCCTCGGGGGGGTTGGCGGGGCTGCGAAACGGCGCCCCGCCAGCAAGCCTGCAATTCCCCCTGGCGCTCTTTTTGCGGCATGGTTTTGCCGACCCCCTGCGGAAAAGAGAGGCGTCATCCCTGCCATCACCACGCTCTCGCCACTCCCTGCTCCCATCTATTTCTCCCCTCTTGCGTCGTCGTGGCCTCTCCCGCTTCTGCCTCATCCTCGCCTTTCCCTCCCTCTCTCCTCGGGGCGGAACACGGGAGGGGTGGCCAGGCAGGACAGGTAGGGCGCCCGTTGCCCGAAGTTGCCCCTCGGCGGGGGGGTGCGAGGGGACATCTCAGTCCATCGCTGTGCCTGCAGGGGGGGGCGCCACGGAGGAAAGGGGACGCAGGACACAACAGTTGGGGAAGGGGAAGAGGAGGGGGGAGGGGATGAGGGGGCAGGAGGTGGATGGGGGTAGGAGGAGGAGGAGAGGAGGGGGAGGAGGAGGAGGAGGAGGAGGAGGAGGAGGAGGAGGAGGAGGAGGAGGAGGAGGAGGAGGAGGAGGAGGAGGAGGAGGAGGAGGAGGAAGAGGAGGAGGAGGAGGGAGGAGGATGAGGAGGAGGAGGAGAGGAGGAGGAGGAGAGGGAGGAGGAGAGGAGGAGGAGGAGGAGGAGGAGGGAGGAGGAGGAGGAGGCGGAGGAGGAGGAGGAGGAGGAGGAGGAAGAGGAGGAGAGGAGGAGGAGGAGGAGGAGGAGGAGGAGGAGGACGAGGGGGTGGTAGGGACGGGGGGCCAGGATACAGAGGGATCCCCTCTCGCCCCGAGGACTCCAAGGTGCAGGCGTTCGTGGAGACCTGCCGCGAGGTGTTCCCGACGCTGCCGGAGTCCGCCAAGAAACACCTGCTTCAGGCTCTTTCCTTCTGCGACGTCTATCGGCCCTGACTCTGCGTGTCCTGTTGGCGCTAGGGTATCGGACACCACCGTTGGGGTTCACTTGGCTGCAGACATCCTCCAGATTTGGAACCCAAAAACGTTTTTGTCAGATCTCTGACCTGCAGGGGTAGGGCTCACACGTGCTTTCCTCCACCTTCCCGCGGGAGAGAAGCGAAGACCCGAAGGGGAACACAAGGAACTGTTGAGGGAGCAGCGCAGACTCCGAGGGTGACCAGCAAGGCTGGACCCCTCCGACGGGGGGAGCAGACACACGAGGGGGGAACCCTCCCTGCTCATCCTGGGAGGAGGCTCGTGCTGGCCGTCTGCGGCGTCTCCTGTCATTCGCTACGCCAAGGAGGTATGGGCCGGCCAATGTAGGATTTCCAAGAACCCGCATAAATTCGCGACTCTCAGGGCGTCTGGGACTTCATATGTTTTGGTCCCGCTCCCGGCCGATGCCGCTGAGGCTGGCGGTCGGGGATCGGTGGGAGCATCCTGGGCGGCAAGAGGCGTTGGAGGCCGTCACTGGGAGGATGGGGACGGGGGACGGGAGGATGAGCGCGAGGGGAGATGGATGGGGAGGGGGGAAGGTAATGAGAGAAAACGAAAGGAAACGGAGGAGGATGGGAGAATGATGCAGAGGAGGCGCGGAGGAGAATGAGGAGGAGGCGGAGGCGGAAGTGGAGGTGGAGGCGGAGGCGGAGGATGAGGAAGAGGATGAGGAAGAGGGAGAGGAAACTGATTGAAAGTGTGACACATTATCACTGTCCGCATCGGAGTCCTCTGCAGCTTTTCTGGCTTGGGATGGGAGGGCCCGGTCCGCTCGCCGCCCCTGCCGCCGCGATCGCGGCTTTCCTCGGCGGCCTCACCGGCGGCTGGTGGGTCGGGCCCGAGGCCGCGGGGCAAGGCCCCTGCGGGCACGTCCTCGACTGCCCGCCTTGCGCCTGCCCGGCGCCGGCTTGCCCCACGCTCACGTGCCCGCCGGCGGCGCTTTGCCCGGCGTGCGTCTGCCCAGCGGCAGTCTGCCCCGAGGCGATCTGCCCCTCGCAGGCCGCCTGCCCGGCGGCGGCCGCCTGCCCCGCCTGCACCTGCGGCTGGGCGACTTCGGCCTTGTGGGCCGCCGCCCTGGCTGCTGCGACCCTCGCCTTGGGTCTCGCGGTAGCCTGCCGCCTGTGGTGCCACGGCCGCTGGGTTGGCACGGCGACGGCGGGCGCCTCCTTCGGGGGCCCCGCCACGCCGTCCGCCCTGGCCGCAGGCCGTGCGGCGCCGCCGCCGCTGGCGCTTGGCGACCGCGACGCTGGGGGTCCTGGCCTGGCTGCTCCTGACGAGCCTGACGTCTGGGTGCCCCGGCGTCGCCGCTGATGGCTGCCATCCCGCAGGCCCTCGACATCGAGCAGCAGCAGATCGCCGAGGCGTTCGACGACGACCCGAACTTCAGGTGGCACCATCGTATCCTCCTCGTCAATATCGGGGACGACGGCAGGTGGGTGTATGCTACGCCGACTCTCGATGTCCAGGTGCGGAACCTCTCGACGTCGAGGATCGTGCCGCTGGTGCGTGGGTGCCCTATCCCACCTCGCTTGCGGGGGAACTTCTTCGGGTTCGACCCGCTGGGGGAGGACGAGCTGGCGAGCCTGATGCAGCAGGCCCACGCACTGGCGAGTATCTGGGGTGGAGCTGCGCCTGCTGTTGCGGCCTCGGCGGCCGTCTGGTACGTGGCCGACCCCGCCAACGAAGACTTCGGCACCGCCGTCGAGGTCGCCGTCGCCTCGAACCCCGCGCGCTTCGTCTCGCGGGGGCACGCTGGGCTCGCCAGGATGGACGACCAGAGGTGGGTGGCAGTCGAGAGGCTGCTGCCCGGCGACCTGGCAGCCTGGAAGGAGGAGAAGCAGACGGGTGCTGGCCGCGACCCGCGCGTGCTCGCCATCAGCCGCGACGCGCAGGAGGCGCGCTACCTGGACTTCAAGGAAGGCCTGGCCTCCCTCTCGGAGCTCGCTGTGAAGACGGGCCGCGACGGGATGACGGTTGCCGAGGCCAAGGACTGGCCCTTCCGCGGGCCCTCGGCCTCGCTCGAGCTGCTGCGCGGGATCCGCGCCTCTGGAGAGTCCCTCGAGAGCTACCACTCAGCGTGGGCCAGGTCGTCTGGGGTCAGCGCCGAGGCCGGCGTGGCCAAGCATCGCCAGAGCCTCGTCTCCGTGTTGCATCACGCGCTGTGCTTCGACCAGCTCGAGATCTTCCAGAGCGCAGCGATGGAGATGCTGGCTCGACGCGTACTCTACATCGAGCGCGCAGTCAAGAAGTCGCCCAATAACCCCGACTTCCGGGGCCTCGAGATGATGATCCACAGCCGCCTCGACAGCGGCGCAACCCTGGCGGTCGGAGACTTCGCCCGCTTCATCGCCGACGAGCAGAAGACGGAGGCCTTCGCGCTGAAGCAGCAGCGCCTCTATGCCGAGGTAAGTGGCCGCAAGAAGGGCGGCAGGGACAACGAGTAGGGCCGTCGAGGCTCTCCCCCTCGCGCCTGGCCTTCTGCCTCGCAGTGGTGCTGCCGCTGCTCGGGTGGGCCGCCGTGGTGCTTCCCGCTGGCAGTGTGGATTGTTCCCGCTCCCGCGGCCCAAGTCATTCTTTTCTTCGCCCGGCTCAGCGTCGGGGCGGGAGCTCGTGGAGGCCGGCGCAGTGGGCGCGTTGCAGCTTGATGCCGCCGCCGCTCTTAACGCTCTGGCAGCCGCGCGTGCCCGAGGGCTACCCAGGCCGGTGTGGCCCAGCCGCCTTCCCCACGGGCGGGAGTTGTCTGACGCCCAGCTCTCGACGTGGAGGCGCCTCGCAGACGTGGCCCTTGCCGCGGGCCCGAGGCCACTCGAGTTCGACCTCTTCCCCGCCGGCGCCTTGCCGGAGCTCCTCAAGTTCGACCTCTGCGACGCGGACGTGCCCCTGGCCGCGGCGCCCTACGACCCAGACCGCGTCTCCGTCACTTCCAAGCGGCTGCGCCCGAAGGGCGCCCGACTGCTGGTGGGCGCGGACGCGGCCCGCTACCTTGCCGACCCGTCGCTCATCGCTCTCGGGGGTGCCCAGCTGGAAGGAGTTGAGCCTGTTCGTCCGCGCTGGGATCGGCGGCTGGCTTCTAACCCTCGCCTCCTCCGGGACTTCGTGCAGAAGCTCGCCGACTGCGGCCTCATCTGCTACAGGACGAGGGTCGCCGCCCTCTGCGGGATGTTCTTTGTCAAGAAGAAGTCTGGGCAGCTCCGCCTCGTCCTCGACGCGAGGCCGGCGAGCGCTGTCCACCGCCGGGCGCCCTACACCAAGCTGGCCACCACTGGGGCCGTGGGGTCGCTCATCCACGACCCGGGCTATGTGGCCGCTGCTGCCTGGGGCGCTGCCAGAGCTGACGGCGCGGCGCGGCCCGCCCCGGCTCAGGGCGCGTGCCGCTCCCAGGAGCTGTGGGGAGGCTCCATCGACCTCCAGGGCGGCTTCTACCAGTTCCTGGCGCCGACGGTCTCGCACTACTTCGGCCTGGGGCTCCAGGACGCCGCTGGGGCACTGGGGGTGACTGTGTTTGACCCCGACCTCGGGCGCGATGTGGCCGTCGCCGAGGACGCCATCCTGGAGGCGTGCTTCGCGGGCCTGCCTATGGGTTGGAGCTGGGCGCCGTTCTTCTGCCGCAGCGCCGCGTGCGAGGCGTGCCGTCGGGCTCAGCGGTCGCTGGGGCTTGCCGAGTGCCTCCTGGGGGACAGGGGGCCGCCCCCGCCGCTGGCCCCTGGGACAGCGATCTGCGCCCCCTACGTCGACAACGCCAACGTCATCGGGGGTGACAAGGCCTCCGTCGCCCGCCTCCTCTCCGCCGTGGTCCACGAGCTGGAGGAGGCGGGCCTCGCGGTGCACGGGCGCGTCGACCCCTGCCTGGACTTCGAGGCGCTTGGCCTGCACTTCGACGGACGCCGCTCTTGGATCCGTCCCACCTCCCGACGATCGTGGAGACTCTGGTATGGACTCGGCGCGCTGCTCCAGGTCAGGGCCATTTCCCCGGACCACATGCACCGCCTCTTGGGGCATTTATGCCGCCAGTTCTGTTTGCGCAGGTGCCTCCTCTCGGTGCTCGGGGAGTGCTGCCGTTTCGTCGGCAAGGGGGCTCCGCGGTGCGACCTCTGCCGGAGGGGGCCCTCTCCGAGCTGGCCGTCGCCCGCGGCCTGTGCCTCTTCGCGCACGTCGACATCGGCGGCGAGATGCTCGGCCGGGCCTACTGCAGCGACGCCTCCACCGAAGGGTACGCCTTCCACTTCGCCGCCGCGGACCCCGCCAGCCTCTGGCGGGAGGCAGTCTGGCGCGAGCGGTGGCGCTTCGTGGGCGACGACGGCGGGCCCGCGGCCGCGACCGCGGCCGTCCGTGGTGCCGAGGTCGCCCCCCTCTTGCCCGATTTCGCCTTCTCCCGCTGGGTCGCCGACTCGCTGCAGCCGCTGCCCACCGAGGCCCCGCTGCAGGCCGGCGATCCCCGCTCCCGCCGCCCGCCCCGCGACTTCCGAGAGCGGGTGGGCCTGGTGCCTCCGATCGCGGCGGAGTGGGCGCGGCCCAGCCGCTGGCGCCGTGGGGCCGTGGGCTCCTGGCGGCGCCCGGCGGCGATCCACTGCAAGGAGGCGCGGGCGGCCCTCCTCGGCCTCGACCGCGAGGCGCGCGACGCCCGATCGCACGGATGCCACCTCGTCTCTTTCGGCGACAACCTGTCGGAGATCCTGGCGTTTGATCGGGGTCGGGCGAGGGGCAAGGAGCTGCTGGCTCTCGCCCGCCGCGCGTGCGCCCTCCAGATCGGCGCGGGCATCACCTGGCATCGGCGCTACGTGGAGACCGAGCGCAACCCGTCGGACTTCGACTCCCGCTTGGCCGGGCGGGGCCTGGTGCCCTTCGGGCGCCGCGCGCCGGGGGCGCTCCTACGCCAGCTGCCC